TGGGTGACCTTGGACCAGTCACTCTCCCTCTGTCTTAAGAAGAAGGCAAGAGCAAACCATTTATGAAAATTTTGCCAAGAAAACTGCATAGTCTGGGCAATCATCCAGAAGTTGAATTGGAATTAAAGCAGCGGTGAAATCCAGCTGGATCTATCTGGCTCGTGCAATTTGGTAGGGCCAGCAGCGGGAGGCTCCGCCCACCTGCCAGGATGTCATCACTTCCTGTTTTTTTATCCTCTGCACATGCATCTCTCACATCTCCTCCAGTAGCAAAGGTAAGTGCATTTTACCCCTGAAACAAAGGTGCATACATACTCATGTGTCTTAAAAACAGTGATTTTAGATATTTGGCAGTGAATATTAATATATAATAGTAATCTTTCTTCTATTTGCTTTTAGTAAACAGCTTAACTAACTATAAAGCAAAAGTAAGAACAGGACTGTGCAAAGACCAGTGATCTACTGTAATTTCCTGGTCATCTCTTCTGGGTGGATCCTGATATTTAATCAGATGGATCATAATCCTTTGTTAGAATCTATCATCGTTCCTCAGAACATTTCATCTTGTGTGTGTGTGTTCACATTTGGACCTTAGAAAAGCCATTTGCAGTAGTCCATTCCTACTGCTGTTTAGCATTGAATCTCTCTCTCTCTCTCTCTCTCTCTCTCTCTCACACACACACACACACAAATTTTGTCATTTTATTCATGCAATGAAATGGTGGAATATTGTAATGATATCATTTGCAGCATATTGGAGAACTAGAATGTCAGAATGAGACTTACACATCGCAAATTTGGTGAAAGTAATATAGTAATTAGAACAACTATAACTCAATTATTAGATGGTAAAGAAAATGTGTTTTGAAGGGCAGTTAAATTAATCTGCATAGGAACAGAAACATGGACATGGTGTTAATGGGAAGAATCATAACCTACCTTGACATTTAGCCCATTGCTAATACAATGATGCGTTATTAAAACATTAGCACTAATATCCATGCTTTCCCCCAATACGTTCTTCCTGGATCTGTTCAAATGAAGCATCATTGTAGATAGGCAAAGTAAACCAATAGCAGTACAAACTATCTACATTGAATTTATGCTGTCTGTGAATACAGACTAAAGAAAATTGATTTCAGTTTGCTTCCTTTATGACAGAGAACTAGTATTACAAACCTTCCAGAGGTCAGAAATAGTAAATTAAAAAACATGGTGCATGGGATATAATCTTTACTAATCTTTTAAGCCTACTAAGTAAATGTAAGCACCTTTTATTTTTCTGATTCAGTTAAGCACAGGTAACCTTAGATTTCTGGCCAAGGAAAAGAAAAAAAGACATTTTATTTTTAACTGCTGCAGATTTGGCAGCTCTGATCAGCTAATTCAACACTATGATCCATTAAAGACAGTGGGGTTTCTTTTTTCCCTTCTCGGACAAAATGTGGAAAGAAAAACACAGGTCATTTTCTCTTTGAAACAGCTGAAGGTCCCATTAGTTGCTGCTTTTTCTTTTGGTTCTGTTAATCTGTTTAAATTTATTTATATTTAAATAAATATATTTAAAATTCTAGCTTTGTTTGCTTGTTCAGGCCTATGACAATAGATCTGAAAAGAGTGTAGATGAGCTCTGTGTCCATATCCAGCTATGCTTTTCCATCAATGGAACTTGGCCAATTTCTTTTACTGGTTCCAGGGAACTGCATTAAGAAAGGAAAAGGAAAGTAAACCCTGGATTTTGTCATCTGGCTTTTAGGGACTTCAGTTCTTTTTTCAGTTCTTTTTTGACCATCTCTTACTTATGAATGGTGCTGCCTCATTTTTTTTTAAATGGTTTTACTTAATTAGAAAAAAATAAAACACAGGAAAAAAAACTCAATATGTACTATGCTGTATAAGCAACTCATTCATCACAAGTAACATTAGGATTTCAATCCACTCGAAGCATAAATGTTTCTTTCCAATGTTGAAGGACTAATGTGTGATTTAGAAGAATCTATTTTCTCTGTCCAGCTACTATATTTTAGGGCTATAGTTCAAAAGATTATGGATGCTTGAAAATATTAAACCTTTTTTCAAAGTCAAAACATATAATTATTTTTTATAACATGGTAACAATGGGATATTGTAAAACCATGTTTTAATAAAGCTTTATTGTATCTCCAGCAATGTGATGATTTATTCATTCTTTTTTATAGAAAGATAATGGGGCTCAGTACATCCAAGATGTTATTTTCTACTCAATATACATAACCTAGAATTTATAGAAATGTTCGCTATTGAGATTAATATTTTAAAAAGTGGATTGGATTATTTTGGATAAAATGGGGATTTCCAATTCCATTCAACCTTTAACATTTGCATACTATATCAACTTGATTTATCAATAACGGTTACTCCTAAAGAGTAACCTAAAATGTTGGCTGAAATAAAGAATGTAGTTATAAATACTGCCAGTGAGTGGTAATTATATTTATAGAAAACAATTAAGTATTATCATACTATAGTTAATCAAAATTAAAATCCTAGCCTCCATCTTCTGTCTCATTTTCATAGTATTGCTTAATATTTCCAATTCCCCATCCACTTTTAGTAAGGAAGAGATTCATAGTAATTCTCATATTATCACAACTATTTATATTATGCTGCTGCTAATTGAAATAGCTAAGTATTATTTAAGCATGTTTATTTAATTTCATCCATTTAAAGCAGTAGGAGTCTATAGAAGAAAATAACAATGGTTGTATAATAAGGCTAATGGAGATCTAGAAGAAAGCTGAAAGGAGTAACTAGGTGGGGATCAGCAAACTAAAAATTGTACCTTGAATTCATTTCCCTTATAAAGATGCATGCCATGCTCTACTTCTGATTCCTTCTATGATTTCAAATCTTACTATGATCAGACTTACTATGAAAAAAGAAGCAGTCAGAAGTAAAACAATAGAAGAGAGAAGAGAGAAATTCAGTGCAGAAAGGGCTCTGCCATCTTGTAATCCAAATATAGCTATGCACATTTTCCCTCTTCTCCCATTTATAAGGTGACCAGATTTTAACATTGGTAAAGAGGGACATTGTGGGCGTGGCTTATTTTGTGGGCGTGGCTAGCTGGTCATGTGACTGGGTGGGCGTGGGCTAGCTGGTCATGTGACCGGGTGGCCATGGCTATGTGTATAGGGTAAGGTGAACAGATTTTAACATTGGTAAGAGGGACACCATTGTGGGCGTGGCTTAATGTGTGGGCGTGGCTTGGAGGCCATGTGACTGGGTGGGCGTGGCTAGCTGGTCATGTGACCGGGTGGCCATGGCTATGTGTATAGGGACTACTCAGAGGGCTGGAAAGTCATTTCTGACAGGTCCTCACACTTTTGACTGGTCCTCACACTTATGACCATCCTCACATTTATGCCCGTGCAGCATTCTTAACAACCATGTCACTCATTTCACAACTGCTTCTCTTCACCATGGTGACAAGATAGGGCAAAAACGTAAAATGTGAGGACAGTCGTAAGTTCGAGGACTGGTCAAAAGTGCGAGGACCAGTCAAAAATAACTTTTTCAGCCCTCTGAGTAGTCCATATGCATAAAAGGATACAGTAATAGAGAGGGATGAAGGAAGGGAAGGGAAATTAGAGTAGGAGTGACGGTTAAGAGAGGGAGGAAGAGAGGAGGAGAAGGAGAAAGGAAGAGGAAGTAGGGAGGAGAAAAAGAGGGTGGGGGGAAGAGAAAGTAAGAAGGAAAGAAAAGAGAGGTGGTAGGTTTGAGGAGAAAGATTGCTGTACAATAAAAAAGATGAAAGGGAAGAAAGCCAACCCCAAACAAATATAAAGATATTAAGATAAAGAATGAATTGTTAAACTTTAAAGAATAAAAGAGAACAAATATGAATAAATAGCAATAATTAGAAACACACATACAAACATACAATGTATTTTCTTTGAACAGAATATTTGGCTGGTTCACAAATTTAAACAGTGTTTAGTCATTTCAATTAAATTTACAATTTCTATATTTCCTTTTTGCCATATTTATTCCTCATCTATTTTTTTAAAAAAAAACAATATTACCCTTCATCCTCATCTCTAATCTTAATCAAATTCAATTTTTCCCTTCTATTCTATTTTATACCCCTTCCCATTGTCATCTATTTTTATTTCCATCCTCACATTGTTTAATTATGTAATTATGTAATACAGTTGTTTAATACAAATTCAACATTTTAATATAAATCAATTAGTTATATAACTATCTTTTTTGTATATTAATCAATATGAACATGAATATTCCAATTATTTCCATGCAATCCAATTTCTTACAAATCAATTAATTATACTTACCAATAATAATAAACCAAATAATTTCCCCCATATATTCCTCCAAACCACAACTTAACCATTTCTGCTTTCAACACAGTATACAATTAATAGTATCTCAATTATTACAATTCCCTAGTTAAAAAGAGCTTTTTTTCTTTTGTGTTTTAAAATCTTGAACTCTCCTCTTTTGCCCTAAATAATTTCCCATTGTTTACACCTACCTTTTTTGGTGAGGAAAAGGAAAATAAATCTGCTGCCTAATTTTCCAACGTTGCAAGCAAACAGCAAAGCCAACAGCCAGTTTCACTTTCGTTTTGAGCTTGGTTTGCACAAAGAGAAAAAAAAAACTGCTGGAGCAATTTAGGAAGAGCAGAGCCCTGCGCAAATCAGCTGAGAGGGGGAAGCCGAGTTAATCAAGGTAGGGCGGCCCTTTGAAGCCCCGCGGCAAGAGTTTAAACAGGTTTTTTCCCTCTAGCCAGCAGCGGGGATTCAGGAGGCAGAATGAAAAATCGGGACTTTTTTAAAACGCCGCGGGACGCGGGACAAATTGCTCAAAAGCGGGACTGTCCCGCCAAAAGCGGGACGTCTGGTCACCTTACCCAATTACCATTTATTACTAGTTGTAATTGTTAGAGTTAAGACTAGTAACAAGGAGATCGAGGTCCAACCTCAGCTGTGAAAACTTACCAGGTGATTTTTGGTCAGTCACTCACATTTAGCCCACTTTATCTCGTAAGATTGTTATTGGTATTAAAAGAAGGCAACTGCAGTTTATGTGCCTGGAGAAAGAACAAAATACAAATAAACAACATCTAACAAATAAACAAGATAGATGTAGGTATCAGCTACCATCAGTGTGGGTTCTCAGAGAAAGCAAGTATATGCATTCATACTGGGTTGACATTTTTTAAAACAACAATAATGCACTGAAACAATTTGCTAATTGAATTTATTAAATTTTTACAGCCTTCCATCTCACCAAAAATGACATATATAAATAAATGTAAAAATCTAGATTAAGAAATAAATGGTATAAAAAACAAATATGTAAGCCCCTCAGCAAAGAGAGGATGAAAATGGCCACCTCAACAATAAGTCATTAGACTAGAGCATATTTCTGGTTCCTGGGGCCCTTCAGGCCTGATGACATAGCCAGATCTTGAGGGTCTTCTGGAATTACAAAAGGGATGCAGCTATTTTGGGGGAAATATACCTGATCTAAAAGGGCAGATTGAAATAACTGGGGAGAGGGAATCCAACAGCTTGTCCAGTTCAATGCCATAAAAAGCTTTGGGAGAACCCTGCCCCCTTAAAAAATAGCTTCCTCTGTTTAGCTGGCCTAAATGTCTCTTCATACCTATTTATGTGAAGTTTTGAATACGGCCTTATTTTCTGTGTACCCTTCACATCAAAGTGTGGATGAGAAATACAGGAATCATAACAAGTGATTTGGTAACATGCAGAGACTGTGCTTCCTGGAAAGCAGATTTGGATGACCAAATGCCATGCATTAGGACCTTACAAAAATGGAGATAAGTTGTAAAAACGAAATTTTCCAAGAAGACTCATTTTTACTCTTCAATTGACTATACAATTGACAGTCCTTTCACCTACAAACTCCAAGGGTAACAGAAAAGAGTTCACCACCCCACAGATTCTCATAAGATATGTGACAAAGGATGACCTGGAGAAAGATACTGAGAATCAGCCCTGTGTAGGAGATGCAACAGTCTGAAGAAAAAAATTTTTTTTTTAAAAAAAGGCCAAAGTTTCAGTACCATATGCTCCTTCTCCTGTGTGCGTACTTTTTAGTTGTGCAGAGAAAAATATTATTGTAAAACTTGCCCTAGCAGATGTGCAATATATTTTGAAAAGCAGTTAATGGTCTTAAAGGTCAGCAGATGGACAGCTGATGGTAAACTGCTAAGCTGAACAATCACACCCAAGGGTCCTCCTTGTTAGCAATTGAGATGTTGTTATAGTGTAGTTGCAAAAGAAGTTCAAGGAGTGGCAGGAAGAAGTTTACTTAACACTTCGCAGTGTGAGAGACCCACTCTTGGCAGTGTTCATCAGTATGTGTCCAGTAGAACAGACATGCATTGTTATTAGCTGAAATAATTGACTGTGAGCACTGCAGCTACACCTAATTTAGTCAGGATTACTGTTTCAAGCTGTAGTTCCCAGTACTCTAAAAAGGTCTTGCCAAATAGTAATTATTATACATGCATGTCATCTACAAGATGTTTTTTTGGGGGGAGAGTGTCTGATTGGATAAAATGTGCTAGGATACAGTATTTAGAGGTACTTTAAAAAGGTTTTATGAAGGTGATAGTCTTCCCTCTGTTACTGATTATAAAGTGAATGTTGTTGTCTTGCAGCTCATATCAAGGCCAATGGGTAGTATCTGGTCTAGGTCTAGGAATGTGATTGAAGCTGGGAAAGTCATATCATTGGAGGCATCATGCACAGCCTTAACTCAAAGAACCATAATAGAGGTTCTTGATTCACTATTGTATGTATACATATTTGCAGAATCTAGTTGCCTTTCACTGTCTCAGTCAATAAATGTATTTATCAAATTTATATTTATATGATAAATAGAACAGAAAGAGAAGATGCAGAACTGTGGGTTAAGATCATTCTTTCCTCCTTTCTTCATAAGAATAAGAAATAGCAATAGCATTTAGCAATAGCACTTAGACTTATATACCACTTGCCAGTTTTTTATAGCCCTCTCTAAGCAGTTTACAGAGTCAGCATATTGCCACCAACAATCTGGGTTCTCATTTCACTGATCTCAGAAGAATGGAAGGCTGAGTCAACCTTGAGCCAGTGAAGATTGAACCCCTGGCAGTCATCAGAATTAGCCTGCAATACCGCATTCTAACCTCTGCACCAGCACGACTCTTTATCCCACATGAAACAGTGCCTCTCATCTAGTGCAGCTTCTTTCTTTACGATCACCTTCACTTGGTAATAATAAAGACAAAGTACTATAAGACACTGGCAGCGACAATGATATTTCCAAATGATTCACATTCTGCCACAGAAAGGGCAGACATAGGATATAAATATAATGGCAGAGGAAAGTAGATATCGAATGGCCTAGAAAAACATGCTATTTTCCATTTATAACCAAAAGTCTTTAATGCTGGGTAACCTGATTACAATTAAACTAAATTATGACTATTAATCAAAGTTAGCTTTAGTTTATTGACTCCAATAGCCTTGACTGGTTGCATATAACATATCAGGCCAAACCAAATAAGGCATATTGTTAACACACAGCAAATATATTGTAAGAATAATACAATAGGAGAGATGAATGCTGGAATCAAAATTAGAAGTCAAAACACTAGTTGTGTGAGTTACAGCTAGCAATACTTTGCAGGCTGAAGGTAGAAATATAGAATATTTGTGGGAATAAAAAATTAGAAAGGGAAAAATCAGAGTGAATGTTAAATATTAAGGAGACAAAGACCATATCAATCAGCATACTTAACTAGCACACAGTTATTGATGAAAGAACTGAGTGATAGATAGTTTTGTTTTCTTGAGCTCCAGAAAATATAAAGATAGTGTGGTAGAATAGTAAAAAAGATATTAATCCTAAAACAAGGGCAGTGACAAATGTTGACAAGATCATGAAGAAATACAATTTCAGTGACAATAAGATGTTTATAATAGTGGTCTTTTCAGCTGGAAACTGGCACTATTGAGAGGCTAAAATGAGCAAGGTCAAAAACAAAGGTCTGAAATCAAACTGACCCATTACAATATTTATGTACAAGTGTCAACACTTTTTCTATTGAGAAATCAGTGGTTCTCATGAGTAATGAGCAATGCATGAGTAAAGAAAAAGAAATAAAATTTGAATTTTGGATCTGACAAGACTATTATTTGAATCTTATCGTTTGCAGAACTTCCTACAGTTTTCTTTATTATTAAAGCTTTTAATGTTTGAATTTTAAGAAGTGTCAGAGGAGTGCCTTTGAATCAAAACCTGCAGACTTTTTATCCTGCTATTGGTCAGTATTAGTACTGATGGACACTGAGAAAAGAGAAAAAAGATAGATGCCATTCAATTGTATCTTTAGAGACCATTATTAAGAGTACCATGGACTGCAAGAAGAACCAAACAGCCTTAGAGGAAATAAAGGCTGGATGTTCCTTTGAGATGATGCTCAATATCCAAAAATTTATGTCCTTTGGGCATATGGTGTAGGCGGATAATCTAGATAATTATCTAATAAATAATTAAACTTGGCAAGAATGAGGGAAGAAGAATGGAAAGACAATATGTAAGAATATAGATAGGATCAAAAATGTTCTGCAATATTCTTAAAAATTGGGAATGATCAAATCTGGGAATGATACCCCTTTTATGAATTATTGGGTATGAGTATTTGTCCATGCAGTCACCTGGAATCGACCATTATTTAATGTTACCTAACTAATTAATAGAAAACCTACATAGGTTTATTGTTGTTGAAAAATATGTTAGATAAGGTAATGTGAGATTTAAAAAAACAGCAAACCTCATAAAAAGTGAAACAGAAACCATGAACAAGTAAAAAGCAGATTTATTAAAAATATATATTTAAAGCTATATATATATTTCAAGCTTTTGCAAAAGGGTTTTCCCATGAAAGAGAGAGAATGTCTTATCACTCCGGTTACATGATTTAAATACAGTTTCAGACAATCAGCAAAACAATTAGAACGCCCTCACCACATATTGCTTTTGGTTGTTATATAATATTTTTGGCTTTCATTTTATGTTCCGCCCTGGAGTTCTCCTCCAAAATCACCCTTCAAAAATGCCCTTTAAATATGTATTCATAATTGTTGTTATTGTTCTCCTTAATTGGTCATTTAGTCTTTTCCTCTTTTTCAATAAAGCTTAGGTCAGCTTGACCCAACGTAAAATGTACTAAAACATCTATTTCCTCAAAACAGGTATTGCAGTTCCCTTATGCTTCCCAGAATAAAATGCTTACTCACGTCCTATTCAGATTAATGTTGGAGAACCGAACACAAGTTATATAAATCAGGTTATATAAAGGTTAAATATGGAGTTACTTAGGTTATGATTTTTACAGGAATAATTCATTTTTCTCTCAGGTAACAAATACTTTTTGAGGAGTTTTCAGAAGAAACATATATTGTGCATGTTTTCGAAAGGGCCTTTTATGTCTATCTTCCAAAGTATAAAGGTAAAGGTAAAGGTTCTCCTTGCATATATCTGCTAGTCGTTCCCAATTCTAGGGCGCGGTCTCATCTCCGTTTCAAAGTCGAAGAGCCAGCGCTATCTGAAGATGTCTCTGTGGTCATGTGGCTGGCATGACTAAATGCCAAAGGTGCACGGAACGCTGTTACCTTCCCACCAAAGGTGGTCCCTATTTTTCCACTTGCATTTTTTACATGCTTTTGTAAAACTGATAGGTTGGCAGAAGCTGAGACAAGTAACAGGAACTCACCCCTTTACGCGGCACTAGGGATTTGAACCGCTGAACTGCCGACCTTTCAATCAACAAGCTCAGCATCTTAGCCACTGAGCCACTGTGTCGCAAAGTATGGCATCTTTCAAATATAATGAACTATAGCGCTACAGACTATAGGTTGGAGAAAACTGCTACAATATACAGTAGAGTTACCATTATGTAAATATGCTTTCTATTTTGCTAATATTATTTTAAGAACATCTGAGAAAACTTTGCAGGCCAATCACGTAACAGAACTGTCACTGAGACTGGACAATCCATCTAAAATGCCATTT